GGGGCTGAAAGAATGGAATCCTATCTAATACCATTTTTTAAGCTGGCTTGACTAAAGGGATTCAAAGGTACAGTTTTTTTTTCCAGAAAAGAACCCTATTTTGAAACTGCTGACCACACGCCTAGCTATAACCACATTGGCGTGACAATCTATAGATACCAAGGGCACAGAAGAGTGACCTTTTATTGATTCTAATAAAAATATCTAGCACCCTGACCTTGTTCTTAATATGAAGGTGCTACATGTACTTCCACGAGAATTGAACTCCACATGAATTTCCTTTCTGTAACCTTAACTGGATAAATGTACATATACACTGTAGTAACTACCCGTTTCTGATTTTCGAAAATAAACCCATCCACCTATTAATTTCAAAAATTTCTAATTTTGCAAAAAATCTTTGTGGAGCTACATATTGTATATGCGACTTCATTAAAACATAGAAACCAATGCAGTGACACACAGGGTGCAAATGTCCTGACAACTGAGTCATGGTATATTGACTTCAGGCAGCACACTTTCCAGGAAACTTAAGACCAAGACAATTTCTATACCAAAAAAAAAAACACTGTATAATCTAACCAGTGTTAGTCACATCAATAACTGTCACTTTAATATATGCTATGAATTATTACCTCAATTCAAATGTTACCTCAATATTAACAGATTGATAAAAAGAAATGGAGTTTTTTTTCTGAGAGCTATTTTCTATATCTTTCACACCTGATACTTTTACCCCCAGCTGTCCTTGATATGGCAGGTATGAATACAGAAGAGCACCACAGGAGAAAATCTGACCCAACAGGTGATTGACCTATACATGCTATATATATATATATATATATATATATATATATATAACTACTCTTCTCTCATATCATCACTTAGATCAATACACACATGCACACACACACACACACATACAAACACACGCACACACACACACACACGGTAATGACTTGGATCTTTTTAATGGGGAAAATTATCAATCATTCTGACATTAAATTTTAAAATCAAAGAATATTGCATCTGTTGTGCTTTAATTGTATAAAATAGAATCATAGTATAAGGTAGCCTGCTTTTCAATTTTATTGCTACAACACAAAGGAATATTCTACCTTAGCTTTTAAGAACTTATGACTGGAAAAAATACACTATCTGTTAAATTCACAATTTTCCCCACTGAAAAGATTGGCTCATTACCATATATCAACTACCACATGTGATACCCAGTGCAATAATTTCATTTACTACGAAATTTCTCTCAAGCATGTAAACCTGCATGCACACGTACACACACACACATACACACAGTAAAAATGGCATTAAGCTAACTCACCCTGCCAGATAACACTGCTCAAAAACTTCATTTCATAACATGGAGACCTCCTATAGCTTGTGTTTCTGTTTATTTTATAACATGAATCTGGTCAATCAGTCAACTAAATTTAGGTATAAATTCTTAGCTATGTTACAATCCCACAATCCCAAAGGGAGCAGCACAGCATAACCCTAACTGAACTTGAACAATGTCAAATGACAATTAACATCATTACCACGCCAGCTTGACGTCATATGTTGTTTACTAAATAATTAGCGTGACTTGCAGTTGGAGGGCAAAACAGGCTGTGCGCATTCATGACATAAACAAGAGCTTTTCTTGGAACCTGACAAATCCCAAGGTCTTAATTATCACTTTGTTCAACAACAACTAAAGTCAAGGAAGGTGAAATAGGGCACATAAAAACCTACTACATGAGATCTCTCTTATTTAATACAATGTTCACTCTTCTGAAAAGTCATTCTAAAAATCATCAGGGCTTAAAATGGCACTTACCCAATGTTATTTACATTGTCCCAGCAAGCAAAGATGAACAGGAAGGTTGCAGAGCTGTCATCTAGCATTTTGACAACCATTTCTAAAGCTTTTATTGAAAATAAATTCAATATGCTAAATCATCCACTGTCTGAGACCTTGAAATACTATATTCCATAAATCTACTAAGCCTACATAACATTCATTAAATTAACAGGGCAGCATTGCAGGTCACAATACAAAAGGCAGTAGTCTAAATATTAACACCCCATTCCCATAGATTTTTAGGTCGATCTATCCCTGTGGGGAGTCTCACTTGATTACTGTCAGCTTGGCCGATTTAAGCGTCTGTCCCGTCTACTAAACACTGTAAGGGGGTAATTAACTATGGTGTCCGCTGGGCTGACTGCAATTTAGCGTGAACCCCCAGGGAGTTAGGTCGATCTAAAACTTAATCTCTAGATCGATCTAAATCTCTGGGAAAGCACCCTAAGACCAGCATATTCCTTTCTGACCATATTTGTCATTAGTAAGTTTGTTCAATGAAAGAAGAGAAATGGATAATCTTATATATGCACATACACCCAACTATAAACATTTCTGACAAATTGCTTTTTTGATTTATTTTTGTAAATAAAAATATCCTACAAGCACTTAACCTGCTTTTAGTCTGACACACAACAAATCTAAGCACTTCACTTTTTTAACTGCCAACCTTGTACCACATAAATTATCCACCACATTTATATGCATATTTATTATAAAGATTTAAATGAATAACTAATGAATAAATATTGACACCCATATCTCCATGTTGACAACCTGAGGAATAGTAATGTCATTTCACTAAAAATTGATTAGTCCTAAAAATCAGCACAAGGTGGCATTGGACTCCACTCACCTCTACAAACAGAAACGTCATTAATCACAGGATGTGGTTATTGATTCTGAAAAAAACCTGAGACCTTTTTTAATTGATTGACTGTTGACAATGTGTGATTTGAAGTTCATGGCTGAAGCCAGATGAACTGGTGCAGATTGGACCGAGGTGACTTTTGCCCAAGTTTTTTTTTTTGTTGTTGTTGTTTAAGAATAAATTGGTAAACCATTTTATTTAAAAAAATTACCTATTTTTATATTTTTTGTTTAAAAGTATAAACATGGTAACAGTTTTGCTTCAAACTTCAAATATTATGAAAGGTTTGGAAAATTTTAATTTTTTCTTATTTTTGTACTTTCAGACTGTTGCTGCACGTTACCTCCCCCCCCCCCACCCACTTTTATTCACTGTATCACACCTTTTCTCTGCTAAAATGTTTTCTCCTTAGTAATAAATAATGTAAACACATCATCACAAGGTGCGACACACAGGGGGCGTATCCATGTCTGTGCAAAAACAACTCAATTATTCATGTGTCAGTAAATGTGTGACTAAATGAATGAATGAATGAGCACTTCAGAAGTTATTGGCCTCTCACTCTTGTCTGATTTTAGATCCACACTGGAATAAAAGATATTAAGGTTGTTTTCCCTGATGACTTGTCAGTTGTCATAAACAGCAGTCTCAAACTGACGTGTGT